ATCCCGCCTGCCGGGAGCGCGGAGATCTGGGGGTACACTGGTGCGATGGGGGCTGCGAAACCCCCCGGGCTCCCTTGGGTACCTCCTAAGCCACCCCGAGGCAAGCACCCTGCCCCGCAGCGGGGTGCGGGGTCGCCGTCCATCGGTCGCTGAGGTGTCAGGGCCGCGTTCCGCCGCCCAGCAGCGGTGCCAGGCCAGCCTGGCTGCTCTTTGCCTCTCACGTCGCTCCGGTTCCACACCCCGGCACAGCTGGGATGCTCCGAGCTTGGCAGGCGCCTGTCACCTTGTCACCGTCGTCGTCTGTACTCCTGCGCCTCCCCAGAGAGGAAAGGAACCAGAGGAACAAGCGGTCAAGAAAAATACACCCCGTAAATAATATTTCCAGGGGCACAGGGAGCAAAAAACGGAGGGAAAAGCGGCTTTTCGCTGCGTTGGTGTTTAATGCGCATAGCCTGCGAGCAACCCCGTAGTTGTGTGGGTGCCCTTCGTAGCATCGTATTGATGTTTCCCCTGTTAATACGTGAAGTATGCGGCTCAGAGAAGCATGAAATCATCGGGAAAAGTATATTTATGTCACCGTTTAATGCCAGTTTAACAGCTGGTAGGAGCTGTGCAGGCAGGTTTGAGGAAGCTTTTATTGTTCTGATGTGATCAGAGGGGGAACTGGGGCAGAAGGCGCTGACAGCCTTGGGAGCGGGTTCCCTTGGTGTAGATCTGAAGTTTCTGCCTTTTTCGTGGCTTACGTGAAGCTGCACGACGTCCAGATTTACTGACCTTTATTAGGAGAGCAATAAGATGGCTCCTATTTCGTCGTCGGGGTGCGTAGGGCAGAGCTGTTATCCTCTAGATAAGCACGTTCGTCTCGGTTGGAATTTATTTTGCAGCAGAAAATCTTCAGGGACGTTTCTATTCCAGAACTTTTGTGGGAGTTGGAAGACGTCCCTTGGCAGCCTGGGAGGCCTCGTGCTGCTTAACCGGTGTGCAAACACCCTCCCTCGGCCACGCCGCGATCTGGCCTTAGCTACCTGTGCTGTGTTCCTAGGGAAGGCCAGAGGGCCGCTATTTTGAGGGCAATCTTGTTATCTCCAGGCAAGTATGCTTTCTGCATAGAATGGGCCTCTGAAGGGCTCCTCTGACAGCACCTTTGAGTCGATGACTTGAAGTGTCCTCACTAGAGAGAGGCAACGTTGATGTCGAGCTGCTCATCCTAAAGCAGCTCGAATGAATTGCAAGAGGGGGGGGGGAAAAAAGAAATATGTTTCCAAGCGGCGAAGCACAGCTCCTCTGAGGTGCTGAACGCGACGTCTCGTAACGATAGAAGGCAGTTACAAGAGGCGGAGAATTTCCCCAAACTGTTAAAATGCAAAATCAAGGAGGTTACCTGGTAACGCTGATCCTGCCATTAGTAAAACCCCACAGCGGCGGGCTTTACCTCAGCGGCAGATCCTTCCTTCCTGCCCTGAGATCAAACTGTTGTGGTTTTAGTGCTCAGGAAATGCCTGGCAGAGCCTGGGAATAACATCGGTGTAAAGCCAACGCAGCAAAATTGCCCGTGCACGGCCCATTTATGGGTGGGCTGTGCCTGCCCAGTGCCTTGCCCGCAGGTATGGCTCTCGGGGGGGGGGGGAGATTCCCGTTTCTGCTTTGTCATTCACAGCTTTGCCAAGAAAAATAATTTAGCGATGCGTATTGTATTCCGCAGAACCCCCTGTGTCTTCTGAAAAGCACTCTCGGCATATTAAAAGAAATAAATAAAAAGGAGATGTAAACATCGAGGCTGTTTTTTTTAAGATTAGACCCGGAAAGTTGTATTTTGTACTGGTTCCCAGTTTGTTGTTTTGATAATGGAAAGAGAGAGGCTGGTTTCACTTTCTGGTCCTCTAACCCTTGCACAGCGTCGCGGCTTTGATGTTTTCCCCCCCGCTGGCACAGGGCAATGCCTAGAGCTGAAACTGCGCCGCTGCAGTTGAGACCGTCGTGCCGGAACATTTTAAAATCGATTTTTTTTTGCGTTAAAACTCTTGTGCAACACACGCTCTTCGTCGCAAAGGGAGCAAGGCAACATCTGTTTGCTCCGATCAGTGAACGCCCTCTGATCGCTCCAGGTTAAATCAGGGAAACTTGCACTGGTGTTATTTGTGCTTGGTACAAATTTTCTTAGCCCCAAGGACTTAGGTGCTGCCAACTGCTGCTGTTAATGTGTAGGTATCTGGGATTAGGTGATGGAAACAAGTTCTACATTCTCGTTACCTTGCAGATCCCATT